AGACGACGCCTTCTCTCAATCAATCTCTCTGTATTTTTCTTATCAGAAGCGTGAAAGCTCCAGCCACGAGCCTCTCTATATATACCTATAGATGAATGATTAACCCTAAGAAATTTTCTTTCCTTGTAGTTATCTTTTCCTTTGTTTGCTCTAAAATATATTCTTCAAATCTCTTTCTTTTTTTCTTCCAAGTAAATATATTTTTCTTTTTTCTAATCCAATCCATGCTTGTGAATATCAATACACGAGCTCCTTTCCACAAATCTTCAAATTTTCATTTTTAGGAAATTTACAAATTTTTAGGAAATTTACATTTTTAGGAAATCTTCATTTTTAGGAAATTTACAAATTTGAATCAAATTATTATTATAAAATGGATTTCTCTTTTTTTTTTTTATGGTCATTCTTGCTAAATTTGCATATAACAACGAATGGCTAGCAGACAAAAAAAAAACTATTGAAAACTTGTATTACTATTTTAAGAGAAGTGGACTGTGGACATAACAAAAATCGTTGAAGCTATTTACCTCTCAAGTAGCTATCAGGAAGGACATCTACATAGTTGGCAAAGATGGAACATCTAAAATCGTGTGCCAATTTAATTATATGTTTATACATCTGTGAGTTTTGTGTGTATACCAAAAGAAACTTGTATATGTAATTAGATTTTAATGTAGCAAAATAACCATACCCAATGAATAATGATGGACCGCAATCCAATAATGTAGCAAATTATCACCAGTTGGCCCGTAAAAAGCCATGAAAAAACTAGTTGATATGTGCAATTTGAATTTTTTATATTCCGAGTTTGAGTTTGGTCCAAATTTTCCAAAAAATACATAATATGGTCATTCGAAAAATTAGTAAAAACTCTAAATATGATAGTTATTATACGTAATTGATTCAGTTTTTTTTTATTACCCTGATTAAGTTTTTGCTTCAATTATTTCGCATAATTTGGTTATGTCCAATATTTCCAAGAAAACATAATTTGCAAATTCGTTATTCAGAATTTCGGAGAATCGGAGCATGCAGTAATTACATTTGTGC